TATCGGCAAATTGTCAAAATCAAATGATCGGAATCGGAGCAAAAAAAGGTGATCGGGACATCCCTAGTTTGAATGTGTGTTTGGTGGCGTGATCATTATTATTTAGACTCATTGCGTGCCTGATTTGAACACGATCCGTGTATCCATCATTTCCTGGTCTTCTCTAAAGAAGAGGGACCAATGAAAACGTTGTCATGTTGCCGTTGTTCAGCATGGAAACATTCATTAGCTAACAATGACATTATTGTTCTATTAATATAAAGGGAGGTCAGGTACTCTTTAAAACAGCTGCTAGTTATGGGTACTTTTTACTGAAGTACATTTCAAAGCCTCTTTACTTTGACTTGAGTAAAGAAGTTTAGTCAGTACTTCTACTTTCACCAGAGTATTTTTAAACACGAGTATCTGTACTTCTACTTGAGTAAAGGATGTGTGTACTTGTACCATCTCTGCTCGTTGGGTTGGTCGTTAAAGATGCAGTCAAACTCGAAATGTAGCTTTGACAAAATACAATGTGCCTACGTTGTTTTGTTTCTCTGACTTTGCTCATAGACTTTTGCAACGTTAACTAGTCGCAACTAGTCTAACTAGTCAGCTAACTAGTCAGCTAACTACGGCTATTTCTTAGAAAGGTAACACTTTAATAACCTCTGTTTTCCTCTCTCAGCCCAAGAAGAAGAACATGACAGCGTACCAGGTGTTCTGTAAGGAGTACAGAGTCAACATTAATGCAGAACAGCCGGGACTAGGTGGGTCAAATCAGGACTGCGTGTGTATGTGATGTATGGAAGCACTTTGGTGGACCAACTCAAATTCAAAGAGCATTTAGGCTGACATTTGAAAGTCTAAACATTTGTATTATGAGTGGCAACTGGGGTTTTTCATTTTTAAATTGTAATAAAATGTAAATAAATTTTAATGAAAATTAAATTGGAAATGTAATATTTTTTTTATTTGGGTTACAGATCTTAAAATGCGAAATTAAGTTTCAATAACTAAATTACAATTTAAATATTTAACATTTGAATATCGTCAATATAGTCATAGTCTTTAAAAAAAAAAATTGCAATTATTATTATTTTAAAAGTTTTGTCGCAGAATGCCCGTGCTAATGGTTTGAATTGTTATTGCATTTCTTTTCATTTGAATTCAAATTTAGACCAATTAAATATAAATATTTAAATGGAAATGAAAATACAACTTAAATCTTAATTTGTAATTGAATCTGCTAAATGCTTCCATAGTAATTAAACCGATTTGCACCTTGTCCTAACATCACTTTATACACATTTTAAATATTTAGTTTTTGTGTCCGATCCACAGTCTTTGGTGAGCTAAGCAAAAAGCTGGCGGAGGTGTGGAAGGCGATGCCAGAGAAAGACAAGCTGGTGAGTTTCTTAATAGAATAGATAGATATATAGAATCAGAGGGATGAAAGCCTCTTTAATGTTCTCACATGCAGAGCACACAGTGAAATGTGTTCTCTGCTTTTAACCCATCCTAGTACCAGGAGTCTAATAGGAGCAGTGGGCAGCTCTTGTACAGCGCCCGGGGAGCAATGGGAGTAGGGGGGGAAGGGGGATGTCCAGTGCCTTGCTCAAGGGCACCACTGCAGGACAGGAGGTGAACTGGGACCTCTCCAAATAGCAGTCCACGCTCCATATGTAGGTCTGTTCGGGGACTTGAACCGGCGACCCTACGGCTCCCAGTCCAAGCCCCTACTGACTGAGCCACTGCCATATTAACTAATATTAGCACCCGTTTCTCTGTTAAGCCTCTTCTGATGTCGTGTTGGAGCTTTAACCGTGTTCTCCGTGTGCAGGTGTGGAAGCAGTCAGAAGAGGCTTAACAGAGAAACGGGTGCTAATATTAGTTAATATGGCANCGAACATTTGTATTGCTTTCTTATGTGTCGTGATATGTCAAAATGTGATCTTGTTGGCTTTGGATTATACATCAAACTTTGTTAATAGTATGAATGAGTCATCTTTAATGGTTTGTGAGCTTTAAGATAATACTGTATGATACATAAAAAAAGTCCTAACTGTATAATTGATAATAGAAATTAAGTCCAAAATGATTTATCTAATTTGCATTTGTAACATTGCCAAATACATGATGCCTATAAGGGCTGACTTTGTTTTGAGGGATCACAAAGATGATTGATGCATGAGCACCAAATGGTTAATAACGGTGATTTCACATAGGCCATTAATCATATTATTTATCAGTGTAAACAACGGAACAGGTCATCACTTTATTTGAAGGGGCACAAACATGATGAAGTATGCTTGGTAAATCATGATTACAACACTTGGAATTGCTGTGACTGGTCAGTTTGTTGGCCTGTCACTTTAACTGCAGATCTATATTCAGAAGTCATGATGATTGAGATACCTTAGTTGATGCATTAATTAAGGTATTGTTCCTGCATTAAGTCATTCATGAGATACTATTAATCCTTATACATTACTGATAGTTCATGAAGTACTACATGAATGAATTCATGCTTTTTCATGCATTATGTCATGATGATTCATGTACCCTTACCATAAAGTGTTACCAAAATGTATTGGGTGATTTTGGAAGACTTGAGCTCTATAGTAGTTGATGATTGAACATGCATCTGTTTAAGATGTAAGTCAGGCCTATTCTACTGGCGGCCCACGGGCCAGATGCGGCCCAGAACCAACTCCCGAGTGGCCCAGCCTCCCGTAGCCAAATTCCTACACTAGTACAGACCCTGAACGCAACACTCCGCGTTGCATAGAAACCACCAAACCACAACGCAGCACGTTTTTTGAAAGTGCATCTAGTGGTGCTAGTAACGGTGGTCCTATGATAGCAACTCTAAAACATGTCTCTCTCAACTCTGAAGCGTAAACAGAGACAAAACGGTCATTGATCTTGTGGAGCAGATCCAAGTCAAGCTGGACCTTTTCGCGACCGACTTGAGCACGGGTCGGATGCTGCATTTTCCGACGCTCCCCAAACACATCACATCTCCGGCACAAATCACGGATGTGATGACAGATTTCATTGCGAGGTTGAAAGAGAACTTTGCCGGTCGATTGAATGGACTTGCTCTGCCCACAGAGGTGATGGGCTTTGCCAGAGACCCCTTCACTTATTATGCAATAGAGGGGGACGTATCAACCATTGCAAAGGAAGTGGTCCCCTGCATCGACAAGGGGAAATATACACTGGAACTTATTAAAATGCAGCGCACTAACGGGCCAGCAAAGTTTTCGAGTGATGTCAAAAAACAGCAGTTTCAGAAAGTAGCGATCTGTGTGCTCAGTATGTTTGGATCAACATACACATGTGAATAAAGCTTTTCACACATGAACTCAATCAAAAGTAGCACTCACTGCTCCATGACTGACAGCACTCTTCACCAATGTCTTAGGATTGCATTGACATCCTATGAGCCAAAAATCACTGCCCTTGTTCAAAACAAAAAATGTCCCTTCTCCCATTGAGAAAGTCAGCGATGACAAATCACAAATGAGGTGATAGTAAGCACCTAGTTTACTATAGTAGACGTGTATTGTAGTATTCATTCATAAGTTAGTTACCCGTATCCAGGGGCGGACTGGGGTGAAAAAGTGGCCCGGGGATTAATTGACAGACAGGCCCACTTAATGCGCGACATGTATCGGCCGAAAGTATGTTACTTAACAAAAAACCCTATGCATTTAATGTTATTATGGACAATTATTATAGTAATCACATTACCTGAGCCCTTGAGTTGCCTAGAGCAAAATAGTTACAGCATATATTTAGTGATTTTAATGTTAACAGATCATTGATGCAATAACATTTTGACCCAATTTGCCTGACTTGACGAATGGAAAAAAACATGGGCGTAGGAAGCATCCTCAATGTGGGTGAGACAATTTAACAGGGGTTGTGGGCAGGTGTTGGACCTCACCTCCTCTAGGGGGGTCCGGGGGCAAGCTCCCCGGGGAAGATTTTTTTTTAAAATGTTGACGTTAAATG